AAACAATGAAAAAATGAGCGATGAAGAGGTGGAGTCACGTACACACACAATTGCAAATGGCCGATCGAAGCGCAGATGTTCAGCCTCACTGGCAGCAAAGCAGTGCTCACACCCACCCTCTGGAAGCCTAGACGCACAACGAGCAAAGGTTTTGTTTTTTTTTCAATATTTTCTTATTGATTTTTAGGGAAATGAAGGGAGAGGGAGATAGAAACATTGATCAGCTGCCTCCAGGGCACGAGACCGAAACCTGGGCATATGCCCTGACCGGGAATCAAACCAGTGATCTCTTGGTGCATGAGTCCACACTCAACCACTGAACGACACCGGCCAGGCAGAGCAAAGGGTTTAATATGATACCTGTTCTGAGGAAAAGGGGAGCCAGGTACCTCACTGGTGAGATGGCTAATTTAGAAATCCCTCCCTAGATGGTGAATTAGCAACAGGAACCTAAAGCCTGACATAGGCATTTCACAGGCAGGAATGCATTCATGTCACCCAAGGAAATAACATCGAATGTAGCAAGTTTGAGCTACAGGGAAGGTCATCACAGCATAACTCCCCAAGAGGAAAAAAAAACTCCGAAAGATGCCATATATGTCCTCTAAAAGAGGGTGTTTAAATTGATACAGCCATATAATGGAACATTCTGTCACCGCTACAAACGATGCTTCAAAATGACCGAAGATGTCCACTTATATTAAATGGAAAAGGCTGCAGAACAGAATTTACAGTATAACGTTTTTTGTATAAAAATGAATATATTCTAGCATGGGAAAAACTAGAAGCAAATATGCCAATGACAATTGTTAATGGAAGATTACTGCTTGTCAGTTTACTTATTTGTAAACCTTACAACGAACTATTTTTACACACGAGAACTGAATGAAGAGTTACTTAAAAGAAAGTGAAGGCGGTACAGAGCTGAGGGTCCTGCAGAGCGGAGGCCCCGTAGGCAGCAGGGCATAGGTAAGGTGGTGGGTGGAGCAGGCGCCCTCACCCAAGGAAGGTCAAGGGCACACTCGCAGGACACCCCAACTTCACATTTCCTATTTTGCTGCCTTCCTCGTGCCATTTCCAGGCTGCAGCAGTGTATTCTTGTGCATTAAATATAAACACTCAAAACATGCCACACGTATCTGGAAGCCTGTTTTGGCATTTCATTTGCAATGAGAAGCACTGCTCAAAGCCAGGGGCCATCACTTCCTCCAGAGACAGGTGCACAAAGAGGTTAGCCGCCAGCATGAAGTCCCTTAACGGCATGGTCAGTAAGAAAACCCAAGGGCGCCCACAGGGTGGGTGGGGCAGTTAGGACCCAAGTCTTTTCTGTAACACGTACCATTCCTGCAGTTTAGTGTGTCCAACTGGAGCACAGTGGAGCCTCAACCAACTTACTCAGGCCGTTTTCCTTTTTTTTTTTTAAAGATAAAATGCTCATTTTTTTCATTCAGTACATATTTATTATTATTATTGCTGTTTTCCTTTTTAGAAGAACTTCCAAGTTCAACCTTTGCTATGCTTAGGCCCCATTACTCTTAATTTGTACCAGATCACCATTTTCTACCATCCACCGCCTCTGGGAGCTCAGAGACAAGGCTGGAATCAGATCTATGCACAAGGATGCAACAGTCTTCAACACCTGCGCCCCTCCCGCCTGAGCGGAGGATAACTGAGGGCAAAACAGGAAGCTCCGAGTCCAAAACCCCCTGGGTTGGGGGGAGGCCAGAGGACGTCGTCAGCTGCCCTGCTTCCTGCTCCTCTTATTAACAAGCCCCACTTCAAACCTCTCCCAACGCCAAACATTTATACCCTATGGAGATATGATCAGCCCGCCAGTTGCTAAGTAACAGCACTATTTACAGAGGTATTTATAACAGTTACCCTTTAAGGTTGGAAGCAAGTTTTGTAATCATCCTATAAAACACAAGAGGACAAACACGTTCTGGAAAGAGGGCAAAGCAGGTGGAGGAGGGCTAGGGGAAAGGAACGGAAAGGGGTAAAGGTAGGAAAGGAGGCCTAGACTGTCCTGGGGTAACAGGAACGGGGTGGTGAGCAGGGAAAGGGTCCTTGAACCTGCCCACAATGGGGCAACTCTTGACAGAGCTGAGCCCGGGATAGGTGGACACAGTGGCATACACAGGAGGGGTCACAAGGACAGAAGAGGCAGGCGAACATGACACTGAGGAGGACAGCAGCCAGTCCCATTGCTGCTCTCTGAAATCCCGTTTTGGTCACAGCACAGCAGTACAAGGAATTAGTTCCCAAGATGAAATGCTGCTGCCACTCCGCACCCAGGACCCACAATCAGCTTCTAACCCAGCCGTGGGCAAACTACGGCCTGCAGGCCGGATCCGGCCCGTTTGAAATGAATAAAACTAAAAAAAAAAAAAAAGACCGTACCCTTTTATGTAATGATGTTTACTTTGAATTTATATTAGTTTACACAAACACTCCATCCCTGCTTTTGTTCCGGCCCTCCGGTCCAGTTTAAGAATCCATTGTGGCCCTCGAGTCAAAAAGTTTGCCCACCCCTGTTCTAACCACACCCGTATAGTCAGCTGTTCAGTAACAGCACTTACACAACTAAGCCCAAACTCTTGTCATTCAGCAAAAGAAAAAAATGTAAGCCAAAGCCAAACTCTTTAGTAAGATGAGAAGCATGTATGTGCTTAGACCCAAATCCCAGATGCAATCCAGTCTCCCAAAGACCCAAATATGGAAAACACAGAGTACACGTCCATTCTATTCTTAGACCCTTTCCCCTAAGCAAATGGAAAGGAAAATAGGTCCTCTTGTTGACCACAGCATTTGGAAACCTGACCAGGTAAAATTCCAGGATATTGCAAAGTACTCCCCCCCGACACACACACACACTTTGACCTTCACTGGTTGGCACATTTTTCAAAACACTCCCAAGTGAGCTGAGCAGAGCCCCGCCCTGCCCACCAGGCTTCAGACCCACCCATCAGGACACACTAGTTCTATTGAGGTTACCAAACTCTATCGAATGACCTCAATTACTTGGAGCTGTTGAAAAGTGAATTTAAGCCTAAATCTACAATATGAAGATACATTCAAATTAATTGCGAAGGCAACTTGGTTTACAGAAAAGATAAAGGTAAAAAAAAATATAGCAATACAACGATTCTAAGGAGTTTAGAGCTCAAACCTTTATTTGTGCTGAAATGGGGAAGAAAGATGATTAGTCACATACATGAGGCAACAGTACTAGTTCTTACCCAACTTATTTCCCCACACATGCATAACACTCTTTAATTCCAAGGACAGTCAGTAACCGTGTCACGCCCAAGTCTCTGGTTAAGAACGCAACTATCATGCCAACATATTTGAAAACATTTTTTAAAATCCAGAAGACAAAGAAACTCAAAGTCAAAAGTATTGGGGACTTAAAATTTCTAAGGTGAAATTTAAGGAGAAGAGAGACATGGTAACAAAAAGCCACTGGTATACTTTACCAGTAAATGCATCTCAAACAAGTGATACGCCACACCTAGCAGAGCCTCCCACCTCATTTTTGTTTACTCCCCAAACTGATTGTCGCTGATAGTTTCCCCTGTAGCACTGGATCATTTAAAAAGCACAAACTTTCAAACTGAAGACATGATAGATGATCTAACCTTGCTACATGAATTGTTACCAAATATTACAGTAATTTTACAGTGACCACAAAAGGTTATTTGGTTCTCCTTGTTACAATGACTATGTAAAGATAATAGTAAGCAAAAACTTTTAATACTGACTACAAAAGACAAGCGATTTGTTTATAAGGTACAATATTGACATACAAAATTCCTTTAGAAATCATTTTTCACTTTGCTCAGAATTTTCAATCAGAAAATCTGTGACCAAAAGCGAGTTACAAACCCAGAAGAGTAACCCCAAAAGCGTACATCTAATCTCAAGTGTACACCAAAATCTCAATTTTTTTTTTCAAATTTAAATACTTTAAAAGCCCACAATTTGAGCATTGAAAGTCTTTTCTCAGACTCACCTTCACAGCTTCAGATAAACCACTTAGCAGTGAAGGACATTAATACCCTGCTGCAAGGTTTTGACACCCATCTTTCAAAGCGACTGACACAGGTCTTGGGCCTTCCCCACCTTGCAGCAATGCAAAACAATTTTGCTTTCTTCTCTGCACGAGAGTTCTAAGTGCTTTAGCAAGTTTCCAATGAACTTTTGTGCTTCCAAGCAACAATTCAACTAGCGTGAACAATTCACTAATATTAAGTAGTATTGTCTTTACCCACGAGCTATTAAATTCTCCAGAGCCCTCCCTACTGACGTTTTCTCCAGAAAATCCCCCTCAACCCACATTCCCTACCACCCTCACCCTCTGCAATATAACCCACCCCTCCCAGTACCAAGCCCGCCCTCCCTTTCCCCAGAGAATTCCCTTCCCCCGTATTCCCTACAGCCCCACCCTCTGACATAGACCTAATCACCCCTCTTCCCTTTCTTCACCCGCCCCCCCCCCCAATACCAGTGTCAAGCTGTGCCCTTTCCCTCTTACAACCCTCACCTCAGGGAGGATCCCACTTGAATACCAAGATTATTTTGAAACCTAATCAAGTAGAATTCAAGTTAAAAAACAGCAAGATGAACCAAAGATCACCACCAGTACCCGACCATTCCCCTCTCTGTAACCTGCGATGCAATGGAAATGCCCAAACTACACCTGCCGTTTCTAACAGAATTTGGACATGACCAACTTGTACCCCACCAGACTGCAGCACACTCCAATCATCCCCACCCCAACTTGCTTCATCCAAGCCTTTGCCTAAGGCACTTCAAACGTGAACATTTCCCACAGTTCCATCATCACACTAAGAATTCCTCCGACCAAAGCACAGGCAGGCAGGCGGGTGGGTGGGTAGGTGAGAGGATCACTGGGCTCCATCTGCAAGTTCCATCTACAAGGCATCACTCTCCGTTGCGACATCAACGTTAAAATGTTCTACAGCTTAAGAATCTTCTGGAAGCAAGGTTCGTAGCAGAGAACTAGCATGACAGGAGGCTCAATACAGAAGATGCAGCATCTGAAAACCTCCACCCAAAAAAAGGAGGGGTGCCTGCTGGCATTCATGGGCCCGGAGGTTGGTGCTCCAAGATCAAGATTCAAATAAACGCCTCTGCTGGTGGCCCGGATGCATCTGATTTGGACTTTAAGATTGCCCCCCTCAGAAGCTCATCTGAAACCTTAACTGATGGGCTCCTGAACACAGGGCTTCCTGAGCAAGGCCTGGAAACATGCCATTGGAGAACTTCCTCCTAAGACTCTGGAAATTCAATCTGCAGCCATCAACTTAGGCGAGCTCTCTCCTCTGCTACGACTCACACTGGCCAGGGGCTCCATGTCTGCTGGTGCCATCTGGTCGCCGTGACGAACACTATGGTAACAAACCACGGTCCATGAGGGATTCCCAGCTGGTCCCATCGCTGCGGGCCCAGCCCCGGGTGCCCGTTCAATCCCGCCCTCTCCACCGGCCAACACCAGCCCGCCCCACCCGTCTCGGCAGGGACAGCCTCTCCGTCGAGGTTACCAGCAATACCGACTCCAGCAGGACCTCGGCACCTGCCCGGGCTTACCAGGTCACCAGAAGCAAGGTTTTAAGTGAAGGGAAAGCTCGAGAGAGGCAAAGGGAGGAGGAGGGGCAGAGCGAGCTCACAGGAGCGGCTAGCACCGAACCTAGAGGGCAAGTCCAAGGGGAGCACTGCCACCTGGAAAACAAAGCGAGGGTCAGTGTTGTCCACGCCCCCGGCCTCGGCGCAGCAGCTGCCGGGGGTGGGGCCTGGCCGCCTCCATCGCTCCTGACCACCCTCACTGCCGACCTGGGCTCCGCCGCCGGGCCGGGCCGGGCCCGTTGCATACCACCCTGGGCCGAGCCGTCGGCCCGCGGAGCTAAGTTCAATTCCACAGACCAGGCCTCATCCCCGGGCGGGTGCACACCCTTTGGTCTGGAAGAAAAGGGGCTGCTGGTGTGACAAGGTCAAGGCCAGCCCGCCCGGCCACCTGGGCCCGGCACCCGCTTCTTCCTCCCCACACTC